AGAGATATGCACTTTTTGAGTGTATGTATGTATATATATATATATATATATATATATATATATATATATATATATAGTATATGTATATGTGTGCACATGTGTGTATTACTATATAAGAATTTTTTAAAGAAAATAAAATGCTGATTACAGAATACAGCTAGGCATGGTGGTTCATGCCTGTAAGCCCAGCTACTTGGGAGACCAAGGCAGAAGAATCACAGATGGATTGCATATTCAAGGCCAGCCTTGGTAACTTAGTGAGACCTGGTCTCAAAAATTTTTTGAAGAGGCTGGGAATGTAGCTTGATGGTAGAGCACCCTGGGTTCAATCCCCAGCATTCACCCCCTGCCCCCCACAAAATAAGGCAGAATAGACTGGAAAATGAAAGGGAGAGGAGAAAGGAAAGAAAAAAAGGAGAGATGGAAGAAAAAGAGAAGAAAGATTTAAGGATTGTTTTTGTCTGGAGAAGAAAAAAAAACTAATTGATCAACTTATTCAAGTCAGATGTCTGGTTCAGTGTATGGCATATAGTGAGACTCAGTGTTTGTCGAATCCATAAAGTTCAGTGCAGTTGTGTTGATGGAGGCATGATGTCCTTGGTGCCTATAGAAGGCTGAATAAGCCCTTCATAGTAAGGCAGAAGAACTGTTGGCCAAATGTAGGAAAGAGCTTCTTACTCAGCAAATTGAAGAAACACAGAGGTGGTCCAAAGCAAGAAAATCATCTCCTGATGACAGGGACAGCCTAGAAGAGAAGAGGCAGCCTGTGTACCTGGTAAACTTGCACTGTTCATGAGCTTGTAGGCTACCTGAATCATCTTGCAGAGCCAGTCAATTGAGGGTAGAAGTCCTGGTAATGCTCAGAGAATCAGAGCATGGTGGAACCCAACTGCCCAACCCTCTTTTCACCCATGTGCTGAGGTTCTCTGATGCTGGGAGTGAGAGATGGGAAATAAGAGCAGCTGAATAAGGGAACATTATCAGGGGAGGTTCTGAAAATCCTAATCTTTAATGCCCCCAAAGCTATTTGGTTTTCCTAGAACTTCATACTTCCTGTCACACTGAGCCCCTCCACCCCAACCCATGTACTCTTTATGTTCCCATTTTCTCTATGAACCTAAATCCTGAGAGTCTGTATTGAGGGTGAAGCAACTCAGGCTCAGGGATGAGGTCACGTGGCTTCATATCACCTACCAGCTGTGTGACTTTAAGCAATAAAAATTTAATATATCTGGACTTCATTTTCTTTAACTATAAATTATTGGCAGTAAGTATCCACCTACAGAGGTTCTCCTCTGAAATAGATAAGGCATGAGATGGGCTTATCATAGTACTTGAGGCATAGAATAAGTTGTGTTTGGGTATTGTGATCAATCCATCAACAAGTATCTATTAAGCGCTTTATACTATGCTAACATTTTTTTTTGGTGTGGTGCTGGGGATTGAACTGAGGGCCTCATGCGTGATGTCAGACAAGTGCTCTACCACTGAACTACATCCTCAGCCCCATGTGCTCATCATTCTGAGAAGCATAAACCAAGACCTCCATGGCCAAAGTCAAGTAGAAAATTTAGGCAAGAGCACATCTTTATTAAGTTCCTAACTGCACTTTTCAGTGCAAATGATCCATACTATTGTTACCATTCTTCTCTTTACCTGAAATTACTCAATCTCCATCAGTCTCAGCCCCTTGAATGTAGCACTCCATAGGATGAGACCTTGTGACTAAGCCCTGCATAAAGTCATACAATTGTTGGTTTCTGAGTATAAGCGACAGTCTTTAGTACTCTAAAAACCCTTACTTATTTGAGCTCAATCCCTGCCCATCAGACAATCCATAAGCCCAGCCCACGGAATGTAGGCTCCCAACTTGAAATGCCAAAGAGTCTCAAGAAGGGTGCAACACTGACAGGCTCTACACATACCTCACACTCAAAAATTTCTGGGAGTGGTTTCCTTCCTTGTTTCCTTCCCTTTTTATATTGTCTGAACTTGTTCCTCAGCATTAAAATGCTGGCTGAAAGCTGGAAGGGTGGGATTAAATACAGACTCCCATGTATTGTTTGTGTCATCGGAACTGGATGGGAGGACAATGAGCACACTATATATATATATATATATATATATATATATATATATATGTGTGTGTGTATGTATATACATATATATACACACATATATGCATATATATATAATTGTAAACTTATATGCAATTATAAAAACTAATACAGAGATATCTGTTTCCTTCATGGATAACCATAGCACTATTGCATAAGCAAGAAAAATCCCCCAACCTTATTCACATCTCACCAGTTTTATATGCATTCACGTGTGTATGTATGCAAGTATATAGTTCCATGCAATTTTATCACCTGTTTAGATTCATGTAAACATTATTGAAGTTAAGGAACCAAAGAGTTTCAGCCTCCCTTCTCCTCCTCACCCTCGTTGACCCCTACTTTGTTCTCTATTTTTATAATTTTGTCATTTCAAGAATGTTATATAAATGGCATTATGTGGTTTCTAATCCTTTGGGATTGTTTTTTCTTCTCTCAGCATAATTCCCTGGTGATATCCAAATCGTTGAGCATATCAATAGCTTATTCTTTTTTATTACTAAGTCAGACACCATGATACAGATGGACTATAGCTACTTTATCACTCACTTATTGAACTATATTTGGGTCTTTCCAGTTTGAGACTATTAGAAATAAAACTGCTTTGAACATTCATGCACAGGTATTAGTGTAAATGTATATTTTTTTATTTCTCTGGAATAAATACCCAAGAATGCAATTGCTGAGTTGTATGGTAAAGCAAATACTTAGTTTTGTAAGAAACTGTCATCATGTTTTCCAGAGTGGCTGTACCATTTTACATTCCCACTATCACTGTATGAGTGTGTAGTTTTTAGTTCCTTACTAGCATTTGGTATTATCACTATTTTTCATTTTAAGCATACTGATGGGTGGGCAGTGATATCTCATTGTGGTTTTAATTTGCATTTCCCTAATGGCTAATGACATTGAACATCTTTTCATGTGCTTATTTGCCATCTGTATATCCTCTTCAGTGAAATGTCTGATCATGTCTTTTGCCTGTGTTCTAATTGGGTTATGTGTTATTTTACTGTACAGTATTAAGAGTTCTTTGTATATTCTACGTACAAGTGCTTTGTAAAATAGGTGGTTTGAAAATATTCTCTTGCAGGCTATGCAGTCTTTTCATCCTCTTTACAGAGTCATGTGAAGAGCAAACATTTTTAATTTTGACCAGGTCAAATTCATCATTTTCCATTTCTGAATCATGCTCTGGTATCAAGTCTAAGACCTCTTTGCCTAACCCTAGCTGCTAAACTTTTGCTTCTGTTTTTGGCTTTTATTCCCCACCAAAGTGTTATGGTTGGAGTCTTACATTTAAATCTTTGTTCTACACTGAGTTAATTTTTGTCTAAGATGGGAGGTTTAGAAAATTGATCAAACTATATTATGTTGTGTGCATGTGCAAAAAGTAGCAGCACATCCAATTATTATGTATAACTATAATGCACCAATAAAAATACATAATTTTTTTCAAAGATGTGAGGTTTAAATCAAAGTTATGATTTTTTTCATTGTTTTTTGTTTTTGTTTTGCTTATGGAAATCCAATTATTCCAGCACCATTTAAACAACCCCTGATTGAAAAGCAATTTGGCATTATTCATCATGAGCCATGTCTATAGCTTTTCTCCTGTCATTTCTGGGAACTTATCCTAAGGAAATAACGCAGAAACAGGGAGGTAAATCTACAGGATTTGAAAATATTCTCTGTAACACTTTTTATAAAATTGAAAAATTGGAAGTAATCTAAATGCCCAACAATAGGGGATAAACTGAGTATGGCACACATGGAATAATACACAATAATTAAAAATACATTTACATATTAACTGTTACCCATTCAACAACTATATATTCCATATCTATACATGTTAATACTGAAGATAACATAGTGAGCAAATTAGACACCCCTCCTCTCTCCTCAAATTCACAATCTAGAAGAAAAAAAATACAGAAAACAATTCTGTATAGAAAAATACATTAGTCAAACTAAGGGGGAAAAAATCACATGTATCAGGTTATTGCAAAACGGATAAAATATAAGCTTGTGGAAAAAACAAAAAGCATCCTTCTTTTAGGTCCATTGGATCAGTTTTTTTCTTTTTCAACCCTCTGTTTTCCTTACCTTCCATAGTATTTTTCTTCTATTTAATAATAAATAGCAAAGTTTCAATTGCAAAGTAGCTTCTTGCTTGGTAAGGTCAGGAATCCCCATATGAAGGGGCAATGGGCACACATACAATCATCTAAAGGGCACAGAGAACAGACAGTTAGGTATCTGGTGCCCAGCTAAGCCATGCTGGATTATTCAGTCAGTCAGCAAGTACCCATGGAGTGTCCACAAGGTAACCCATGACACATGAAGCACTCAGAATATGAGTTTAAGAACAGACAGTCCCTGACCTCTTGGGTCACTTACAACAAACTCTAATCTCAACCTTCCTTATGCTTGTTCGGTAGTTCACACTTTGCAGAGTGCCATCGTGTACATTCCCTCAGATGATCGCCTCAGTGAACCTGTAAAGTTGTTAGGGAGGGTATAATTATCCCCATTTGTTAGACACTAAGATGCAGAGAGCATAAGCAACTTGCCCAAGGTCACACAGATAATAAATGGCAGGCCTGGAGCTTGAACCTGGCCCTTCATCTCTAAGGCCAGTGCTGTTCTCAGAATACCACAATTGCCTCAAGAACAGCTGTGATAACAGTGGGCTCAGAGCACGAGAATAATCAGCAGAGAGCCATAATGAGAATTTAAATCTGTGGATGAGAAAGCATTGCCTATGAGAGGGATGGCTCCTCTCCCCTGCTGGGGCTGGGGCTGAGGCTGGGGATCCTGGCAGTGAGGGGCCTGTGTGTGATGCGGATGCCTGGTCTTACCTCTCCTCCCTTTCCCCAGATGGTGAAGGCAATCCAGGTCCTGAGGATCCACCTGCTGGAGTTGGAGAAAGTCAATGAACTCTGCAAGGACTTTTGCAACCGTTATATCACCTGCCTCAAAACCAAGATGCACAGTGATAACCTGCTCAGGAATGACCTCGGGGGACCCTACTCCCCCAACCAGCCCTCCATAAACCTTCACTCACAGGTAACACACAGGCTGGGTCCTATTTCCTAATCCAGGTTTGTAGGAAGGTCCAAAAGTCCCCAGGCAACCTCAGAAAAGGAATTCAACTCACTGAATCCTTTCACCAACAGGCGCCTCCTCTGATCCCCATCTTCTGTATCTCCTAGAAAATGACAAGATCTGAGAGAGATAATGTCCAAAGTAATTCCTGGCTTCCCTGCCCCAGATTTCCAAAGGAAAGGGAAATGGGAGCTTCCCTGGAGGATGAACTGCAGATGGGCTCAGATCTCTTGGCCCACAGGCTCCTCCAAAGAGCTCAAGTGAGAACTTTCTGTGCTCCTAGGAAAGAGGCTTCAGGGAATGTGGGTCTTCTCCAAGTCCTGCCCATCTAATGAATGATGACAGTTCCACAGGACAGCTTCTCCAGTAATTCACCCTATCCTGGTACCTCTCTCCCATTAAGGTTTAGGACCCTGTAAATGTCACCTCAACCTACCCTATTCCAAGACTCTCCTGCCACCTACATCCTAGGAACATGGAGATGAGGAAGCGGTGTCTGTGTGTTATGGGAAAGAGTGGGCCCTTCTCTGCAGGGCACAATGTTTTCCTCAAACCTTCAAACTAAGAAGGCTGCCTGGTTATACCTTCATACCTCACTTGCTGGCATTTATATAAGCCATAGACTCATCACTATGTTCCCCTTTCACTGAGTTCCTAAGTCCAGAAGACACACAGGGAGCCCCTTCTGCACTCATTCCACCATCCCCAGAGGCTTACATTGCCCTCCTCGTTAGACAATCAGGTGTGGGGATGAGGGTAAACTTTCTAAGAATGAATGGCGTGAGGTGCTGGGAAGGATGCCAAGGAAAGATTGTGCCATTTATATCCCTCGGCCTATAAGGATAGGTTGGTAGGGGAAGAGGGAGGGATGGGCTGATCTGAAGAAGGCAGCCCCCTGCACATTGTGACAACAAGCGCTGATGACACTTGGTATCACTTCAGACCCATCCCAGTGGGATCTCTGTGGGAAACAATAGTGAGTACTGCACAGGACACAGGGAAAGAAGTTTATTTCCTCTTCCTCTTGCTTGAAATCACCAAATCACTTTATTACAGATCTAAAAACAGCAGCCCCGGCTTCTGCTTGCTAATATTCTCTTGAAATAGACTCATTCCTTCAGAGTCTTATTGTACTTTCCCTTATGATCAAAATTAGCAAGAAACTTGCATAAAAGAGGACAATAATTGCTCAACGAGCATCTCGTTTGTAATTTATTAGTTTCTATTATTGTGGGTTACCATGGTGACGCTGCGCAGCCCCGGTGACGGGAGAGATGTAAGATAGGAGCTGAGGAGGCTGTGAGGCCTCACCAAATGGAGATGCACATTTTTATCAGTAATTTTCATGAAAATAATAAGTGAGGAGTTAATGAGATGGAAAGCCATCCTGTGGCTATTGTGAATTTTTTTTAAGTGTTGATCTAATTAGAATGCATCGGTCAGGAAAAGTAATGAGGATTTAGTGCCTCACAGAGATGTGAGGATCATATCAGAAAATTAGCACAAGTCTTTGGAAATAATCAGGTCCTTGGAGAGGCACCGGATTTCCCCTCCTGGGCCTTCTGACTCTACCTTGAGCTCTGGAGTTGGGGGTGTACCAAGGTAGTGGAGGAAGGAAGGGGGGCAGAGGGCTTAGCAGCCACAGTGGCCCTCTCAGGGTTAGGGGTCTGAGGCTGACAAGCAAGGCTGTGGGAGGAGTGGGGTTTTTGGAGAAGGGGACAGTGGACTCTGAGATGCTTCCTGCAAAAATCAGCCTTCCCTGGAATGCCTGTATTCAGTGCTTCTAAGCTTTGAGGAAAGGGGGAAGAATTTGATTCCTATCCCTGAGAGCATCAGATCCCTCCCTGAGGGTGATGCTGGCCCTGGGGTAAGCCTGCAGAAAGGCCTCTGATCTGCAGGGAAAGAGGAACTCAGACAATTGGGCAAAAACAAAGACACTTAGTAAGGCATTCCTACTTGGTATTACTCAAGCTGTCCTTTAATTTTCTCTGATTGCCACTGCCTCCTTCACTCAGGCTTCAGTGGGTAAATAAGGTAATTGTACTTCTGCTGCTGTCCTGACCCACCCTCCTGTCTTACCTGGCCATCCTTCAGCCCCGCTTCACACCCACACACTTATTAAGTTCCCACTGCTGGACTGTCGTCCTAAAGCCACTCTGAGTTTTCACATCTGCCTAACTGACATCCAAGACCCTCCTAAATCCAGCCTCAGCCTTCTTCCTGGGTCAATAAGCCTAGTCAAGATACTACAACTTCTTTTCCATGCCAGTTTGTTCAGGGAACACTTCGCTCTGACACACCTCTCTCTGCAGAGCGAAACCAGACTCTACCCAAGGGCAGTGGCAAGGCTAAACCTTTGGAGGTCTCGCTTATCCCCCATTTAGAATGGACTTTTCCTTCACTCAACTGGCTGCCGAACTCATTCAGCCATTGAAAGGGCAAACATCACATGTGACTTTAGATGATGGACATTTATGTCAGTTTCATTTTCCTTTTCTAGACAACAGGGGTTTTGTTGTTGTTGTTGTTTGGTTGGTTGGTTGGTTTTAGTTGAGACAGTATTTTATATATTTAAAATCACCAAATCACTTTATTGCAGATCTAAAGACAGTGGCCCAGGCATCCACTTGCTAATATTCTCTTAAAAAATGGGCTCATTCCTTCGGAGTCTTATTGTACTTTCCCTTAGGATCCCAACCGTGCACAAGGTGTGCATGATCCACCACCAGCAAGTATTTGTTGAGAGAGGTAATGAAGTGGGGGGTGTGGGGGAGGAATCCAAAGTAAGGGGGAAAATAGGAAGAAAGAGAAAGGGGAGGAAAGACAAATATAGAGGCCAACATTCAGGAGGGAGGGAGGGCCAGGCTGAAGTATTGGACAAGAAGAGAAAGAGACAGAATCCACACAGACGGAGGAAAAGGGAGATGACTCTAAGGAAGAAAGCGACAGAAAGAGGAGCAGGCAGCAATAGTGAGAGGATGACGGAATTGGGCTCAGTGCACTGTGTAGGCACGTGGGGGAAAAGAAAGTGAGTAGTCCTATGCTGTCCATCCATATCCCTGCTCCCTGGTCACTGAGGTAGGGCGGGGGCTTGCATGGGTTCTCCAAAGAAGGAGATCTTCTGCTGTCAAAGGACTGGTCCAGAGACTTTCCGTGTGGTAGACTGGTCTCAGGAGCCAACACAGAAAGGAGGGAGGCAATGAGCATGTGTGGTGTGCGCATGCGTGTGCCGCACATTCGTCATGCTCCGACCTTAATCCCCCCAGCCTGAAATAGCTGCTCTGAGCGCCAGCCCAGCCTGAGGAGGGGTGTCTACCCTCTGGAACATGATCCTTGGGATCAGCATCCCGGCTGCCTGCCAGCTTTGTTGCAAACTGCTGGCTCATAGTTTTCCCTGTGTGCTAATCACCCAGCCTTGTGTGGCAAATTGGGAGACATTTTTGTCTTCCAATTGGTTGCCCCACTCCCAGATGCCATGTTGTATCCTCGCGCGAGCTCTGTGGGGTTTGGAGTGTTCCCTGCTTGCCTTCCACTTTTATATGTGGGTTTTCTCTGTGGGGGTGGAATGGAGGTGGGAAGCAGTAAAACTAAAACAGTTTCAAAGGATTTAAGCTAGCTTTCAACACAGCTAGTTCTTTCCACCTCCCTAGGAAGCCATCCCATTCTGCCCGCACCCACCAATTTCCAGGCTTCTTGCAGGGGCAGCCTCCTCAGTACCCAGGACACTCATTTTAGACTGCTACTCTGGGTTCTCCTGTCCTTCCTAGAGGGCACAAACTAAACTATTTCACTAGAGAGAGTCTAACTCCTGCCTTGCTCGATCAAGTACTAATTTGGCCTGAAATTCATCCCTCTTTCTCCTTAGAGATTTAGACTCAGCTCTATTACAGGCGAATCAGACTGAGCCAGAGTTCATTCAGTCACCAAGCATCAGGGATACTTACTGTATGCACAATGCTAGGTCCTGTGAGAACACACGTGAATAGTCCAGGAGGAGCTCCCAGTATCAGGGAGAGGGAGCTGTGAGTCATACCTGGAAGTCTAAATAAATGACATCAGCCACGGAAAGCCCAGAGTAAGGAAAAAGAGGAGGAAAGAAGCAACTGAAGAGGTGGCGAGAGGGGCTGCAGGAAGGCCCTCCAGATTGAGCAGACCACATGTGAGACAGGAGTTGCCCTGATAGGTCTCCCAAGTGAGAGCCCAGGCCTGACCTCTGGTCCACACATCTTCATGGCCAGGTTTGTTTCTGCCCATACAAACCTCAGCATGGACTAGAGAGGCCAACCGCAGCATTTTACCCACTGTGATGGGAGAAGCTGCAGATTCACTGGCCTTGGGAGGGCTTCCTGGGGAAGGAGGTCTTTTAGATGGGCTTGGGAGAGGTAATAGCCCTATTAGTATGTCTAAAGCTGAGTGTTTCCAGTGCTGCAAGAAGTCCGGGAGAAGGTGAGGAGCACAGCCTTTCAGAATCCCCAAAGAGTAGATAGTGGAATATGAAGCTGTCACTGTTCATCTATACATCCTGCATCCATTCAAGTACTTGCAGAGCCTCCAGGGATGTAAAGATGGACATGGCACAGCCCCTGACCTCAATGTAGAATCAGGAGTATCTTGCAGCCAAATTTATGAGGAGGCTATATTTTGGGGCTGATCATGGTGGCCAGCTGCTAAGATTTTAAAGTGAAGAATATAGACAATGGATCAGGGCTAGAGACACATTGGGGGACAAGTTAATTGAATAGCCACATCTTGTATAGCTCAAAGAAGAACTATATCAGAGCTTTTTTCTTTTTTTAATTATTTATTTATTTAATTATTTATTTTAGTGCTGGAGACTAAACCCAGGCCTTGAACATTCTAGGCAAGGATTCCACCACTGAGCCATACACCCAGGCTCTCAGAGAAGAAAGGGAAGACCATCAGCATTGATTGAGCCTCCCCCAATCCTGTGCAGTCTCAAA